GGGGTGTGACAGTCTGGCGCGGAGGCGAGGGACGCGGCCGCGGGCCGCTGTGCCCCGGGGACTCTCACGGATGCCGGGCCCGCGCCAGCTTCCCGCCCGGCGGGGAAGAGCGGCCATGCCCCCCGGGCGCCACCGCGTTTGTTTAATGGCACGTTTGCCCTTGTCTGCCCCCCTCCGGAGGGATGCGCCAAGCTCACCTGGACGCTCTTGTTAGGAGGGAGCAGCGCTGCCATGAACACCATTCTCGCCGTTATTCCTTCCGACCTTCCTCATCTAGTTCAGACACGCGGCCCTGGCTCGGAGCCTGGCGTGAAAACGGCACGTGATCTCCCAAGGGGCCACGGTCACGGTGCAGGCGAAAAAATCGTTTTTCTCCCCGCCTCCTGAGGGACAAGAAGCTATTTGATTTGCTGGTTTCAGCCTAAGACCCGAGAAACAGGAGGGCCTCTTGCTGGCGGGTCCTATCAGACAGGACGGTGGTTATCTGAGGGCGACAGGTTTAAATAAGCAAGATCTTAGTCGTGTTTCCTCTGCTGGGTGTTTGGAGGGAGCATCCAGGATTGGTGTTGGGATGCATCCAGCCGGCATCCAGGACCCTTCCCTTGGTTCCTGGGGCCACCGTAAGAAAGTACCATGAACGTGGCAGCTCTTGGGGAGAATCCTTCCTTATCTCTTCCAGCTTCAGTGGCTGTTGGCATCCTAGATGTTCCTCAGCTTACGGATGCACCACCCCGATCCCCGCCTGTGCCTTCACAGAGCCACCTTCGGTGGGGGGGGGGGGGCTCTGTCTGTGTCTTCTTGTCTCATAAAGACACCAGTCATTAGGGGAGGGCCACCCTCATCCAGGACGACCTCGCCTGAACTTAACTCATCATAGCTGCAAAGCTCCTCTTCCCAAATGAGGTCACATCCTGAGGTTCTGAGTGGACATGGATGTTGGGGGGACGCTGTCCACTCTGGAGCACCAGCCACCCACACCTGAGGCACCGGCCATTGTCATAAACTCTCCAACACTGTTGACTCACCGAAACCCAGGCAGACACAGGAAGTGGGCACTGTGCTATCCTCATTCCATCGTTGAAGCTAATTAGGCACCAAGAGTCTGGTGAGCCATCTGAGGTCACCCACTGGGCAGTGTCAGAGGCTGGATTTGCACCCAGCACTCCAGCAACAGATTCCCTGTCCTTGACCCTAACATGATACTGGGCCATGTGGCTTTTAGCCACATGCTTTCACTGTGGGGGGTACAAGATACAGCCCCAAATCCAGGATCATCTGTGCTTGGCAACAGGAAGAAAGGGAAACACAAAAGAACCTTCAGAATCTGCTTTTTTTTAAAATTTTTATTGTTATGTTAATCACCAAGGATCTGCTTTTTTTCACAAACTTTTTTGGAAGCCTCACCAAGTGACTTCCATTTATATCTCATGGACCAGAACTGTGTCACAAATGAAGGACAGCCCCCCCAAAATGCAGTAATTTTAGCTGGGCATCTTGCAGCCTCAAATAAAATTAGGGTTTCACCAGGAGAGCAGAAAGGCAGGTGGCCATCAGGTGGGTGACAAACCATCCCTAACACACAGATCAACCTCTGGGTGCGGTTTAGAAGGCCCCCAGTGTGATGTTTGTCTGCCTCCATCACCTTCCTCCCCTCCATTTTAAAGTTAATTTGGAAGGGTGATCATGAATCAGTGACTGTGTTCATGAAGCAGGAAATCAAGATGCTGGAAGGCATGAGGAAATTAAACAAACAAACCCTCTAATTCTGGTTTCAATCCATCAGACCTCCAGATGAGACATCATTCCTCAGTTTTATTCCTCAATCCTCTGCCCCATGCACGTCCCTTACACCCCAGTGCGGCACAGTGCCCCGGACCACCGTCTGTCAGGAGCATCCTTGGAAAGCAGGGGAGGCTGCTTTGCCCACGCACACAGCAGGCTGGATGTGCCGGAGATGGTCGGCCCCGGGAGCGGCTCTCAAGAGGCGCTGTATAAATAACCCAGCTCCCTCGCCCCTCCTTGGAACTATTTTTAGGTGTGTATTTTAGGTAATTTCCCTGCAAGGGGATGGGTGATAATGTATCTCCACCCATGGAAATATATAACACACATGGTGTATTTTGCAGCACAGCTCAGTCCCTGCAGGACCAGCTCCAGCTACCCACTGCGGTAGCTGGTGGAGGCTCGCACGCCTTCCTGGCTACCTCTTCCCGACTCCCCTACGGACACTTCCTGACCCCCCCCACTAAGCCTCCCTGCCCTTGAATCCCTTCCTCGACTCTGTTTCTAGAGGGGTCCAAGCTAAGATGGGAGCTGTCATTTCTCGGGCAAAACCAGGACACTCATTGTTTCCTTACAATAGATCATGAGTTGAATCCCAGGAGAGTATCTGTGGCCCCTCTTACGAGGTGGCCTCAAAGCACGGTCACCTTCTCCTCCCGTTTTTGTATCCTCCTGGCCTCTGGAGAGCCTGAAGTTCTGTGGAGCTGTGGGGTACCCAGGGAGTCCTCTCTGCATGGAGTGTGGGGCTGCCAGTGAGGACTGAGATGGTGCGTTCTCAAGACCTCCCTGCCTTGCTTTCCTCGCTCTGAGGGGCTGGGATGAGGGCGACCCATGGCGGTAAGGCAGCTGAGCTGTCCGGGGTTTGATGGGTTCAGATCATCAACACAGCTGTGTGTCGCATCTCAAACCAAACCAAGGCGAAGCGGGGCCCTCCCACCACCTCTTGCCTGGAGATGTGCCATTCACCTCCTGGAGAAAGCAGAGCTATACCAGAGAGAGGGCTCGTGACATTGAAGAACTGGGAATGTGCAGACAAGGCAGGGGTGGCCTGACAGCTCCGTCCCTAATCCCCATGAGGTCCCGTAGGCAGAGTGATGCGTCCGGCCGGAGGCGCCCCTGACATCTGGACCACACCCGCTCACCAGTGAGTCCGGGGTTGGTCCTCACCATGCTGCCTTGAGTGCGCAGGTGCTTTAAAGGCCTTTTGGGTTTTACTGTTGGATGCTGCTTGTTCTTCCACCAGGCATGTGCGAAATCTTGTTCCTCTTCCCTGAAGCTGGTGTCCAAAGTCATAATGCCATGCTCCCGCTCTGTTCTTTCCTTTGAGATGAGCCAGTTTGGGCCAGAGAGTTAAGGAGTGTTTTCCCACTTCTTCCCAAAGTGTGAATGGTTCTCCTGGATCTCTACCCTTTTAGTAGGAACATAGACACAGGTTCTTCCCCGCCCCCCCTCCCAGAGGCGGCGGGAAGTAGCACCACATTCTGACTTCATCCCTTCGTTTTACTATGCTTGCGCCCAAAATAAAAGCGCATCAGTCTGGGAACTCACAAGGCAGGGGGGGAGCAAGCACATAATCAATGGGCATTTAGAAGCTTTTGCATATTGAGACAGTATAAGGCATGGTCTTTGAAATTCAGGAACATTCCAAACTGCGGTCTTTCTTTCAGAATTAAATAATTAAAAAAAAACCCATATATATAGTTTCACATTCAGATCTAAACCAAATGAGCTAATTATAAGATGAACGAGTCCTATAAAGGAAAAATAAGATCTTATGTAAGAAATATAAAGTTAACATAAGGAAAAGAGTTATGCAATGTTAGGATGATACATTTCTATCCCTTCCTCTGGCATGCTCCTAAATGGGAATTTGCGACTTCACATGAAAATCAAATTAGCAAGAACCTGTGCAAGCCTGACCCTAAGAGAGACGGGTCTCCTAGCACCCGTCCAGGTGTCTCACTGCTGCTTCACCGAGGATAGGCCAGACAAGGTCGGACCTACAGAAGAAACTCGGCGTTCGCCCCGACACAGCCCCCCTCTCGGGGACAGCACTGGCCTGCAGTTAACAGCATGGAGCAAGAATGCCATGGGCAAGAATTTGGGAGGCTAGTTGTACAGAGGCTGTGGGTTGTATGGGGACTTTGATCTTTGTGTGATTGGGGGAGACAGTCCCTGCAGAGGGCAATGAGACCCACTTCTGGTTCTCGGGGCTCAGTTTTCTCCATCTGAGAAATGGGCTCCTATGATCTCCCGGGGCCCTGTGGGAGGAACGGAAGAAGGGAGAGGTGCGCTGGGGACAGGTGCAGAATGAGGGCCGCCACTCAGTGTCTGGGACATGCAGCCTGAGGCCCTGCGTCCACGTGCAGGACTAAGAGCCGGAGACCCGGGAGGCAGGTGTGTGGGTTCAGTCCTTCGGTCGAGTCCTTAGCCACATGTCCTGCAGATTATGAATCACTCGCTGTGGCTAGCCCTGTGCCAAGCACTGGGGAGCAGAAGGCAGACCAGCCCCACGGAGCTTACAGCCTGGAAGAGAGATCACCAACTCAATAATTCTAAGTACTTAGAATTATTCTAAATAACGGTGTCAGATGCCACAGAGGAGATTCTGTGCTTGTGTGTCCTGGGCTCTGAGGGGCTCTGGAAGCAAATGACGAGGGCAAGCAGGGACACCCCGTGGGACACCTTGAGCTGAGCAAATGCATGTTCGGGTGAGTGTGTGGGGTGTGTGTATGTTGTCACATCGGGGGCTGAGCCTGTCGTTGGAACCATAGCGGCATGCCAGACACACACAGAGACCGGGACCCAATAAGGGCCTGGAAGAGGGACAGGGAGTGAACGACAGCCATCGTGACAGAGTTCCGAGAGCGAGGGTCTCCACCTCCGCGTGCACCCTCCGCGCTGGACAGGCCGTGGGATCATGCAAGTCTCAGCTCTTTTTAGGGCAGCTTGCTCCTCTGGTGCCAACAGCTCACGGCTGAAGGTGGCATCACTTTGTGTGAGTTCAGCCAGATAGGAATCGCTAACACATGGACTCAGCAGCGGGACTTGCTGGGTTCCAATCCCACCTTCACCGTTGCCAGGCTGTGTGACCTCGGGCAGCTTACACGACCTCTCTGTGCCATCTGCAGCGGTGTGGGCGCCGGGGTCCCATGTGGGGAGGCGGGGAGGCCGTCGCATGGGGAGGTGTGTGACCGGAAGGTGTGTCTGTCCTCCAGGAGGCGGAGATCCTGAACACAGCCATCCTCACGGGGAAGACAGTGGCCGTCCCGGTCAAGGTGGTGTCGGTAGAGGAGGACGGCGCGGTGACGGACCTGCTGACGTCTGTGGAGTGCTGGTCGTCTGACGAAGACGTCATCAAGGCAAGTGGACGCCCGCCGGCCCTGCCCCGGGAGTCCGTGGCCGTGACTGCTGCGGGTCCTGGGGCCCCTCCCAGCCCATTCCGGTGGTGCCCCTGCTGGTGTCAGGAGACCCTCCCCTGCTCGGGATGCAGAACCACTTGGGAGGCTGAGCCAGGTCCGCCGAACTCCTGACCTTTCGTGTTTGCCAAGTGCCTGGCGCCTCGTCCCAGCCCCTGGGAAGGGCGTGGGGGGCTGCAGGGGCCGGGAAGGGGGCCGGACCCAGTCTGGCGAGCGCGCAGCCGTGCCCTGGGAGGCTTGCCTAGCAGGGAGAGTGTGTGCCGAGTCAGTGCGGGGGCCGAGCGTGCACTCAGTCACCCCCCCTGCGACTGACAGCCCTGGCCGAGGGAGGAAGAGAAGACTGGTGCCCACTCTCCCTGGCCAACCCAGGCCTGCTCTGCAGCTGGGGGGACGTGGGGGCAGCCCTTCATTTACATTCCCTGGACCCCTTCTTTCCTGGCTTCTTCTCTCTCTTTATAATTGAATGCACAGATAAGGTGAAGCCAAGGCATACGGGGACATGCGTCGGCGGGGGCGCTCGGCGGGGCACCTTGCAGCGCGCTGCCCTCAGCAGGGGATGGCCTTGTCGCGCTGCCGCTGCCTGGCACCTCCTCGGAGCCTGGGGACGGCGGGAGGGCTGGAGGTGCACCCGACCCCTTCCCTCTGGGTCCCAGCAGCAGTCCGAGCTCGGTCACCCTGCTGCTGCTGGACGGGAGCTGCTAAGCCCCTCTGCCCTGCTGGGAACTCCAGGGAGCGTGTCCACCCCCAGAAAGCAGTGGACAGACGCCGACTGAATCCCCACGAGGTGTTAGGTCCTCCACGATGGCAGGACCACTGTCAGAGGCGTGGCCCCTGTCCTGTGGTTGGCTGGAGAGAAGGCAGAGGTGGGAAGGAAGGGGGTGCCGGGCAGGCCGGGCCTCCCCGGGGCACACACCCGTATCTTGGCTCACCCTTGATCTCTCTCTCCCCCCACATGCAGTCCTCCAGCAAATCCTGTTGGCAGTGCCTTCCAAACGTGCTCCGGACCCAGCCCTCCTGTAGGGCGTCCTGCCGGCCCCCAGCCCGCGCTCCTGTCTCTCGCCCAGCCCCGAGCAGCGACCTCCCGGCAGGCTTCCCAGGGGCCACCTCTCCCCTGTAGTCTGTTCTCGGTGCGCAGCAACAGGGGTCAAAATGTCAGGATGACGCTGTCCCTCCTCGGCTCGCAACCGTCCACACGCTTCCCTCCCGTCTCGGAGGAGAAGCCAGAGTGATTGCGGGGACACTGAGTCCTGCCCACCTGCCCGCCTGCCCGCACTCTGACCTCACTCTTGTTACATTCCTGCTCGTTCGGTCAGTCCCAGCCGCACCAGAGTCTTTGCCGTCCCTCTGACGGTTCAGGCACCCGGGCCCTCTGCTCCGAACCCCCTTCCTTGCAGCGCTGTGGGGTCCCTCACTTCCCCGTCTCCCCTGCCTTTCCTGGGCAGTGTTGGTAAAGTTGTCGCGCGTTTCCACAGCACCGTCGTCCCCAGCCCCGCTAGGTTTTTATCTGTTATATTTATTCATCTAAGTTATGTGCGTGCAGTATATATTCCTGTATTTTCACGTATATATTTTTATTTTACTTGGTCTATTGTCTGACTGTCTCGTGGGGATATAGGCTCTGGGAGGCAGGGCTGTTTGGTTCGCTTCCTTCGCCACTGTGCCCCGTCACGTGCAGCCCTGGGCAGGTAGTACGCGCTCGACAGACGTGTGGTGAATGAATGAGTGAACGGTGCAGCGATCCAGATGGGAAAGCGAGCCGTTGACTCACGAAAGCCTTCTCGTGGACATACACCAAGACACTGACGATGGGTCTGCCCGCGGTCAGCCAGATGACACGCAACATGGAAACGCACTGCAGGCCGGGGGGACAGCAGGAACGAGGGTGGGGAGACGCGCTCTCGTAACCGCAGAGACTGTGGATTCCTGTGCAGGACGTTCGAGCCTGTTCTCACCAGCCTCCATTTGCCCTCCTCCTAATAGCAATGATGTTTTCTCCAGAAAATTCCTCTATGTCTTGGCATTTAATCCATGCAACATAAATGGTGCCGTGTCCACCCAGCTTCCGATGGCTGGGTGACCCGGGGTGGCCACAAAGCCCTGTGTCCCTCTAAACGCCGTCATTGGCTCCAGGAGAGACCTGGTCCCGGTCCCAGCCACGGAGGCGCCATCTGGAGACTCAGGCTGTAAGTCCTATAAAAGAAGGGGTCCCCCCCCTTTTGTTCTGGTTGCTAACCCCCCTTGACAAGACCTCCTGCAGTTACCAGATGGTACCACCTCCAGAAAGGGACCAACAGATAAGCCGGAGCCACTCTACGGGGAAGCCATGTCCTCACCACGGCACCCGAGAGCCCAAGTCCCTCCAGACCACGCTGGACTTTCCCTGGACGTTCCTGGGAAGGGATTCCTTTGGGCAGAGCAGTCTGGGCTAGTCCTGTAATACCAGTCAGCAAAGAAGTCCACACTTAACAGCTATGCCCTAGGGAGTCCACATTGACTCCAGTGATCCCGGGACTCACAAAATCACCTGCAGAAACACGGGGGCTCGAGCACATGCACCTGCAGCCCCACAGACGGACACACAGCCTAAAAGTCAGACCCCGCAGCCCACTCAGCTGTCTCTGTGCAGCTCCGGGGACCACAGGTGCTGGGAGACTCCCTGGTATTTATAATACTTCGGTGTTGTTTGGAGACCCTTGAGACAGAAAGCCCAGGGGTCCTTGGAGAAGAACCACATCCCCCCTGCGCGGGCTCCTGGAAAGCCTCTGACGGCATGGTCTGCTTTAAAGCTCCAGTCTTTTCATTTTTATTTGCTCTTTCTTCCTTTCCAGCCAGAGGCAGGATAAGCCTGTGTGTTCTCCCCCATCCGTATCGAAACCTCTTCACAGGAAATCCACTGGAAAAGGCATTCTCACTGAACTGCAAATTACGTGAGGTCGTGTTACCTTATGCTCCCCAAGGAGGCCGGGTCTTCAAAAGGCAACGATCTCTAATGGATGCATTTCAGATGTCAGCAGTAATATCCGTTGTGACTCTTAGGGGTTGGAAATGATAGGAAATCCCACCCACGCCGACTGCAGTTAAAAAAAAAAAAATTAAAAAAATGTTGTTGGCTGATGTAATTGAAAAGTCCAGAGTCAGGGGTAGTTTATGGTGGTTTTATTCAGAACTTCAAAAGACATCTCGAGAACATTCTTTCTCTGCCCTCCTCTCCCTCTGACTCTCTCTATCTCTCTGTCTCTGTCTTTCTATTTCTCACTGTATCTCTCCCTGTCTCTGTATCTCTGTCTTCTCTCTATCTCTGTATCGCTGTCTCTGTCTCTGTCTCATCTCTCTGTATCTCTCCCTGTTTCTGTCTCTCTGTCTCTCTCTGTCTCTATGTCTCTCTGTCTCTATCTCTCTATCGTTCTGTCCCTGTCTCTAGCTCTCTCTGTCTCTGTCTCTGTGTCTCTGTCTCTATCTTTCTCTGTCTCTGTCTCTCTGTCTCTGTGTCTCTCTGTCTCTGTCTCTATCTTTCTGTCTCTCTATCTCTCTCTGTCTCTGTGTGTCAGTCTCTGTCTATCTTTCTCTGTCTCTCTGTCTCTGTCTCTCTCTCTGTCTCTGTCTCTCTCTCTGTCTTTCTCTGTCTCTGTCTCTGTTTCTGTCTCTCTGTCCCTGTCTCTCTCTCTGTCTCTGTCGCTCTGTCTTTCTCTGTCTCTGTCTCTCTGTCTCTCTGTCTCTGTCTCTCTGTCTCTCTCTGTCTCTGCCCCTCAGCCCCCACCTGCAGACAGAGCTTCTTCTGGCTTCGCCGCACACAGGCTGCCCCACAGGAGGAGAGGGTCCCTTTGGCCTGGCTTGAACCCCACAGGAAGGAGAGCAGACCTCCCAGACCAGTCCTGGGACCGGCTCCATTGGGGACCCACTCAGGGGGCCCCCTGACCCCCAAGCCCAGTGCCGCAGCCCCAACACCCTGACCCCTGAGTGCCCAAAGCCTCATCACCCAAGCACATGATCTGCAGGGGTGAGGCGGGGAGGGGCCAGTCAGCTGTGTGGGCTGTCAGCACAGCAGGGGAGCGGGCTTTGAAAACGCTCGGACTGGAGAGCTTTGGGGGTGAGGGAATCGTAGGAACACCCAGAGTGGCGCCGCGGGCACTGCTGTGTCACAAGCATGGAGAGGGACGGCCCGGGAGGGGTGTCACCCGAGACGCTCTGGTCCCAGGCGCTCGCCGGCAGCTCCTACATAGACTGGCACCCGCCCCATGCTGCCACCACGCCCTGACTGTCCCCCAGGCTGTCCCAGCTGGACCCGGTGAGCCTGCCTCCCCACCGTGCAGTGCCCCCCAGCTCAGGGTCCAGCAGACACACAAGCTGGGAACGGACACGGTCTCCCAAGGCTGGTCCCAGCAAAAGGGAGCCGCCGGCCTCTAAGGGGACACGGGGAGACGCGGAACGGGCTGTGTAGATGAGTGGGAGGCAGGGAGAGGGCAGCTTCCCTGGTGCGGCGCTGGGCGTGCACCTGCAGGTCCACTGCTCCCAGTGGGGCCGCGGAACAGAGGGAGCCGTGGGTGCACACGGAGCCGCCACGAGGGGTGGGGTTTCATCCTGTCGTCACCCCCAGGCTGTGGTTATGCTCCTCGGGGCAGCTTGGCGGCTTCTCCCCAAGAGTTCAGCCAAATGGCCGCATAAATACCCCTCGAAGGAACAGTCGTTAGTAGGAATTAAGGCTCCTCACCGTCCCCGCTGCCTCCTCGGAGGACCTAGGTCCTCTGCAGGGACGGACGAGCCAGGGAGAAGCAGCTCAGCCGCGGAACCCTGTCACCTGCTGGGTAGGGGCGCGATGCCTCCGGCGCCCTGCTGTGGGGGACGCACCTGTGTGGGTGAACTGAGCCCTCTGAGGCTCCGGGGCCCAGCGGGACCTCCCAGCGCAGCCCTTCTTCAACCAGCCTTGTAGGCAAGGAAGTCCCCAC